ACAGTCTTTCATGATAGTTCCCAATTACAAACATTTATCAGGCTTGGAGAGGGGCCAGGCCTATATCTCTCAGATACCACAGTACTTGGCAAGCATGCTGGAATGAACTGTTTCCTGCAAAGCCCCACTCCCCTTTTGCTCCTCTTTTATACTCTAGGGGAGGGGCCATTCACTGTCCACCTGTGGCTTTACTCCCAAGTCAGCCCTAGTTCCTCAGCTGTTCCCTTCATCTGGCAACTCTGCACATGCGCACACTGGGAACAGGCTCCAGCTGTTCTTCTGCCTCACTGATGTCGGACTCCGAAGGCAGCTGATAACTGTTAGATGGCCCTGGTCCCATCTCTGCCTCTGATGCAGAGCACTTGCCAGAGCCTTCCCCAGACTCCAGGACTGGCCCATGTTCCTCCCCAACCTCCTCACTGGCCGCTGTCAGGCCACATCAGCCTTCATTCTTGAAGCAGCTTCAGAAAATGCTATTCTATGCCCTCTTTGACCTCCAAAATCCACATGAAAGCACACCCCATCCCTGCACAATTTTGGGAGGCTTCAGAATCTGCACGAAAGCACACCCTATCGTCACACAGCCTCCTCAAATTACATGAAAATGGGTTTTGATGAATGCTGATGTGTCACCGCAAACATGGTGGTGTGTCCCCTTTGGCACATGTGTCACAGGTTTTCCATCACTGATCCCAAACCTTTTCCAACAGCGATAGGTTGACATGTTCCAAACAAGGAACTGAGTGAAAACCAGCCAGTTAGTTCATATAGACAAAAATACTGCTGTATGTATGCTTACTTTAGGAGATTTAAATGAGCACCAAATAGCTGAGAGATTTACCCTATAGTTGATTTTGAACAAGGGAATGGACAAGGACCTGTATACTATGAGGAATGGCACAATTTCCAACTATATCTTATGAATATAACTTATATTTTATTTACACCTACCTTTTAGCTTGGAAATCTTTGAGGGAAATATTCAAAAGTCCCTTGGAGTTGGGTGTCTTATAAATTCAAGTAAATTATAATGATAATCTCATTATAAATCATAATAAATGATTACAAATCATTTTGATAATCTCATACCAAGATGGCAATAAAGACACTTGGCTGAGTCATGTGACTGGATATAATGCACTTCCTTCAAAATAAGTTTCCTTCATGTGCATTTTTGAAGAGGTTTTAGGAAACGTTGAATTACTCTATGGGGGATTATAGAAACCTATGATTAAAAAATAGACAGCTTCTTGAGAGAGGTTAATAGAAATTTGATACCAGTGGGGGGCAGCATGTCACTGTATTATTTTGGCTGAATTGAAAGCTCTCAGAAACCTCCTGTGAATTTACAATTCTTCTGTAGCATTGCATTCCAGTTAAGCTCTAGTTTTAGTTTATAGGAAAACGTAGAGCTGTGAATACTTAAAAAATAAATGATTTGGAAAAAGTGGACATTTTTGGGGATTCATTCTATGAAACTACTGTGTTATGGCATCCATTGATTAAATTTAAGTTTTGAATAAGGGAGAGGGGGATTTGTCTGTTTTTTACAGCTTACAATCGTCTAATTTCCGAGGGTGCAGTTTTAATCACATCGCCATCTCAAATTTTCCCTATCCCTGGAGATGCTTCTGTACCCAAAGAAAGGAATAAGACCCCAAGAGACTTGGAAAGGATTGTCTCTGCCAGTCACAGTTCTTTCCAGTCCTCTTTCAATCTCCTCTTTTCAGTCAAAGGCAAGCCAGAGATGTTGAATTGCTTCCTTGGTTGATTCTGCTGGAGAATCAGGGCAATAATTCTGCTTCCTCTTGCTTTCTAATGGTCAGGGAATCAAAAAGAAGATTAATTTGCAGCCCCAGATCTAGAAGCTACACTAGCTCTGGATGCAGATGCAAGCAGAACCCTGGAGAAGGAGGAGCATCATTAATTAATTAATTGCAAAAAAATCCAAAGCATTTCTAATAACATTAAAATTCAGAGAGAAGACATCCTAGCCTTTTTTTTTCTCCCTTCCACGCTTCCCCCCACCAAAATGACTAACATCATCCATTAATGCAAGAGTTTTAAGGAAAAATAAAGTTTCTTCCAGAGGTCGAGGAAATGTCGAAATCAATATAAGAATGTAGGGAACCCAGAATGTGACACAACCTTAACGGAGGCATTTTTCAATCATCTGATGATAAATTTCCCTATTCCTAGCCCAGAGCACAAGAGAATCCCTGGCTTTCCAACTGCCTTCTCCTAGATTATCCTGATTTTAAAAAAGACAATATATTAAGTACAAGCTGTGTCTTAATGCAGCCTGATGGGCACCTAAAGGCAATGTCGAATTCCCCTGCAGCCAATGAAGACTGCCATCAAGTATTTGACATTGAGTGTGGCATGTCATGCACATCGATGGAGGAGTGAAAGCTACCATTTACAAGATCAGTGACAATAACTACATAGAACTATGGGGGCTTTTGGGATTGCTTTAATATGATTGCTAACCAGCAATTTAGCTCACATTGTTTCTGACAGAGTGTCAGTCTGACATTATGTGAAATGAACGATAAGAGTTTTCAAAGGATGCACGTTCCTTTTTTTGGACAATAACTATCATTTTTTTAAAAAAAGTAAAGCTGTGAACCTTTGAGTTGACAGCTCACTATCAAATAATTGTTAAAAGACTTGTTTTAAAAAGAACCATGCCAATTGTATTATTATTATTAATCATATTCATTTTTACTCTCTGCTAGTGCCGTCTCCAAGTAACATTCTACAAAGTCTTGACTTGTCCTTGTAGTTGAATGTTATACAAGAACCATAGGGTGATTATACATCAACCAAGGCAACGGAGACTTGAAAGGAGAAACCATATCTATCAGTTTAAAAAAGCTCATTTCCACTAGATATCACAAGGGATAGTTAGAACATCTCTGAATTTCATCCTTTTGTAAGGAAGGAGAGAATTGGAGCCAGGTGTTGTTAGACAAAATTTGATTTAATTTTCCGGAACCCAAGATCAGGCCCAGACAATCCATGCAGCCAACAACATCCTATTTATGTCTCTATCGGATTAGCCATTGACTACATCTTTTCCATTTAAAAAAAATGGAAAAGTAATGATGGAAATGGAAGCGCAAGACCATTTGGCAAGTGAAGAGTACCCATTTTTACTGACATCTCACCCTCGCCCCCTTCTATTTGGGGTCAAAATTATTGTGGTAAAATTCTGTTTTATTTCAGAAGGTACCCTTTTCCGCTGAACTTGTAATTTAAGAACAGGAATGGAAGGGCAAATGTTTTCTTCTGAAAAAATACCTTAAAAATCAGGGGTGGGATTCTACCGGTTCGGACCGGTTCGAGCGAACCCCTTGTTCCAATGATCAGCTGGCTCCAAACCTATGTTCACTGGTTCACTGTGACAAGCATGAGGGCCCATCCGCCCGCCCCTGCTCTTTCCTGTCCTTTACTTCCTTTGTTTAGAGCACAGCTGATTCACGTGGCAGAGCAGTTTGCCGTGCCTCAGCTGTTTTATTCACAGAAGCTGCAGTTGAAATTAAATATAAGCTTTTTAAAATGTGGAGCATGCGATCACCGAACTGGTTGTTATACCAGTGGAATCCCACCTCTGGTTAAAATATTAGTTTTACTTTTTAGTATTTATTTATTATTTCTCACTTTTAGTATTTTTACCAATAACCCAAGGCTGCAAACATATCCCACATATTTTTCTCATCCTATTTTCCCCACAACAACCATCTATGAGGTGGGTTGGGCTGAGAGAAAGAGAGTGATTGGCCCAAAGACACCCAGCTGGCTTTCATGTGTAAGGCAGAACTAGAACTCACTGCCTCCATTTTCTAGCCTGCTGCCTTAACCACTAGACCAAACTGGCTCATTGGTTCACCTGGTTCAGCTCCCTCCCCCATTCCGATAACATTACAAATACCTCTCTTGTGATCATGGAATGTGAATTGCAATTCCTTGGCCCTAAAGGTTTACCCACATTCTTTCCTCGGTTGCAGTTTCATAAGTATGCAGTTGAATACTTGGGTTAGATGCTACAGTACTAATTCACATGCAGTATTTAAATCACTGGAGCCTTCTCTATTGCTGGGAAAGATCGAGGGCAAAAGAAGAAGGGGATGACAGAGAATGAGGTGGATGGATGGAGTCACTGAAGCAGTCGGCGTGAGCTTAAATGGACTCTGGAGGATGGTAGAGGACAGGAAGGCCTGAAGGAACGTTGTCCATGGGGTCGCGATGGGTTGGACAAATTTAAATCATTGTTTACCAATTCTGGTACTCAACAACATTAAGATTTTGCATTAAGGTGTATAGAAGAAGAAGAAGAGACAAAATTGTTTATTCTTGATCAACTAGACCACAGTTTATTGTGCAGTTCATTGTATCTCAATCCAGATCTTTGATTCCTCAAGTTTGTTTTAGTATTTTAGCATGAAGTTGGAATAAGCTCTGATAAGGATGTTTGGATAACATGATGAATTCTATTTGATAGCATTAGACAGAATTTCTGATAGTACTGCTGTAATTTAACAATAGTAAAAGGATGGAGAAAGTTACTAATATTTAATTGAGACAAAAACATTATATCTCTGCCAATTTTTTATTAGAATTTTATTCAGGTGTTTTAGTATGTAATAACAAGCTTTTCTAACCCAATTCCCAAGAGATAAGATTGTACTCAACCTAAGAGATTGTTCTGCATTGGCTGATCAGAAGATTGTAAGAATGTTTAAATAAACCTGTGCGATATTGACTGTAGTGTCCTACTGGTCCCTTCTTTTCAGAAAAATCTTGAGATTTATATTACAGGAATCATCTATTAAAATAGATTATATCTATTATCTATTAAGACAGAACTATTAAAAATAGATAATAACTGATGGAAAGACTTAGCTGAAGGTAAATATAGAACTATTTGCAAAGGCTTCCAATTGGAAGTATTCTTCCATCATCACTTGATGTTCCTTAAGATGTATGATCTTCTGCAGGTTAGCCAATATACATTTGCCATGTGCAGCTATCGAGAGAAAAAAGCTGAACCTCAAGAGCTGTTGCAGCTTGATGGATACACGGTAGACTATACAGACCCACAACCCGGTAAGTAAGATGGTAAGCTGAGGTTTGTTTGCTTGTTTTCTGAGGGTCAACTTCCTTGATTATAGGCTTAACTGAAACAAACGTCGGTATATTTTTATGCAGCCTGCTTAATTATGTTGTTTGTGAATTAAATTATCAAGATATTACTGCATGCTTATTAAAAACACAACAATCAGGTGGCCTCAACCTTAAAGGAAGGAACTTAAGAACATATCTCTAGAATCAGGGGTGGACTGCTGGGTTTTCGCAGGGGTTCCGCTAAGATTCTGTGCAGTTCGGAGAACCGCCAAATCCCACTCCTGGCTGGCCCTGCCCACCCTGCCCCGCCCCTCCAAGGAGTGCCCACACAGCCCATTTTGGATGTAGGTAAGTGCAGGGTGTGCGCGGAGGCTCGGGGGGGTGGGTGAAAAATGGGCCTCTCAGAATTTTAGGAAGGCCGGAAATGGCTTCCAGAGAGCCTCCGGAACCCAGGGAGGCCATTTTCACCCTCCCAGAGGCTCAAGGAAAGCCTCCAGAGCCTGGGGAGGGCAACCCCCCCCTCCACACCGTGGTGCAAGAGGCCGACTAGGCCACGCCCAGTATGGCCATGCCCACCCAGCAACTGGTCAGAGAACCCTTTGCTAAAAATTTTGAAGCCCAACCCTGCCTAGAATACATTTTTTTTCACCAGCGTAATGGACAGTAGACCGCGAATTACCAATCTTTGGGGAACAAGGGCATAATTCAGGAAATTACAAACCAGTTTACTGATTATATTGGTGAAAAACATTATTCCAGATAAACATGGGCTGAATAGCTTTAGTAAGGGTTCAGTAAAGCTAATACCTTAATCTCAAAACTTTTACTATCCTTTACCAATATCGGAAAAAAGGGAGTGATAGGGGAATCCAATATATTTGTTTAGTTCCAGAAAGCACTGACAAAAAAAATCTTTCACCAAGGATTCATGAGATAAATTATTTTGTGATTCTTATGAAGAAGTAACAGATTAAAAAACAGAAAACATAGAATGCAAATAAATGGGATTACTTTAATGATATAGAGCAAGGGTGTCAAACTCACGTTGTCACGGTGGCATCATGTGATGTATCGGAACTTTTTCCCCCTTCGTTAAACTGAGTGTGGGCGTGGCCAGGATGTGACTCATCCAGCCCATGGAGCGGGAGTTTGACATCCCTGATATAGAATTTTAAACAGTTGGGTCTCTCCAAAGATTTGTAGATTAGTGCTCTTGATTTATTCCTAAACGAATTAGAATTAAAGATGAGCAATGACATGGAAAAGTTAATTGATAGCACCAAAGGGCCTTGAATACCTTTAAAATTATGTTAGTATGAAAACTGGTGACAAATATGGTTTTATGTGAGGCAAAAAATATGGTTTTATGTGAGGCAAAAAAACCTAACTTCACATATATTGTACTCTAAAGGATCTGAGCTAAAACATGACTGAATGAATGTGGAATATTGAAATAGAGACACATTTTGGGTGTGGGATCATTAGAAAAGGATAGGTGTTCTCATTTAAAATTATAAAAGTACATAAAGAGTGAAAGATTCCAGGTAAGCAAAAGAAAGTCATTATCCTAACACCATTTAAAATAAATTCTTCCCACCATAGCATTCATGCTTTCTGGCTTGAATTTAAAGAATCCTTTGCAAATGTCCTTATTCCAGAAGGAGATCTTACTCCTTCAATTTGCAGGTCCTAGCCACTTCTTGTTCTTCATCCTAATGAGTTCCCCAATCCTAAGGGAGACTGCAGAATTTTTTTTTTTTTAAATGAGCAACTATAGCTGCATCTTTTGTTTTGGGAGATCCGTGATCCTGAATGTCAAATGCTGCTTTTTCTAAGAGAATGCTTTCTGATATCTCTCAGGTTTGGAGGGCGGCCGAGCATTTTTCAATGCCGTGAAAGAAGGAGACACCGTGATTTTTGCAAGTGACGATGAGCAGGATCGTATTCTCTGGGTCCAAGCCATGTACCGCGCTACAGGCCAGTCCCACAAACCTGTGCCACCTACTCAAGTTCAGAAGCTTAATGCTAAAGGAGGAAATGTGCCCCAGCTAGATGCTCCCATTTCTCAATTTTGTAAGTAAAACGTATTCTTATCAAACCAAACAGTTTGGACTTAAAAGTGGATTGTTCATAGCTACAGGGGGGAGGGGGAAGAGAAGGGTTCCGAATATGTATTTAATGTTATTTTAACATCTGAGAATTTTTCATAATATATGCCAAGGATCAAGAAAAAAAGTTATTCCATGCAGAAGAAAACCTAAAATGCAATACTTGATGTATGGACTCTAGAATTTCCCAACCCCTAACTTGTTCTGCCCGTTTTTTTCATTATCCCACTCTCCTTTTCAGTATTTTTGGAACAAACCCCTCTTTTGGGGACAATCATACATAAAGGGCCTTTTATAAAATGTATTATTAACAATCCAGTGTAACGAACGGCTAATAATTAGCGATTAAATACTATTGCTCTAATTTGGCTTGCTCCAAAGTGGGATGAAAGGAGGGAAGTTATAAGTCAGGGGTCTCAAAATTTGGCAACTTTACGATTTGTGGATTTCAACTCCCAGAATTCCTCAGCTAGTCATGCTGGCTGGGCAATTCTGGGAATTGAATTCCACAAGTCTTAAAATTGCCAAGTTTGGAGACTCCTGTTATAAGTCTGTCAATCTCCTTGTTTTGGAAAGGGAATAGGCTGAACTCTTTGGTATGTTTGATACGGCCATCATCTACCTTTTCTCCACTTGCTTGTCCATTCCTACCTTACTAAAGTTGTCCTATCATGGCCACTTTCTGACTGTCTGCTCTGTGTAGGTTCTATTGCTTTGCATTGGAACCTACTCGAGAAGTATGTCTATGGAGATTTTCAGTCATCCAGGTCATGGTTGTCCCAAAGGTGCTTTTTCAGAACTGAAGAAGCTTCTTGGATGAGAAGTGAAACATCTTCAAGGAAAAACAAAGTCCACTTGTCTTTTGAAGAAGCACCTTTGGGACAAAGTCAAGAAGTAGGTCTCTTTCTGCTAGCCTCCAGAACAGCAGCTGCTGAAGTATAAGGGCTAAATGATGGCTAGCTGTTGACTCTAACTTTCACTCTGTAGCAATCTCAACATCACAGGGATTGCTGGCAAAGGACAGATAGATTGATATGCACCCATTGCATGGGTACATAAGGGTAGTATAGGATGTATATATGAATATGTGGTCCTATCCCAGCAAACACTATACCACTATAGAACTTTCCTCCTAGTCAATTTAAGGTAAAGTTTTGGGAACATATATGTGTTATACACAAGGCGTTATAATCATAAATTAACATAATCTTGATGCAATGTAGTTACATTTAGAGTTTAGTTAATTGGTTAACTAGCCAGTTAGCAATTTGGTATCTTGATAGACAAAAATATTTTTTGCACTTGTGTCTGAGAAGAATTTTTGCAGAAATCTTGGAAAATCTCCAATCCTGGATTTGAAAATTTAACAAGGGGGAAATTGGAAGAAATTGGTTCGCACGAGTTATCTTTTTGAATTGGATTATCCTCATAGACACAATTTAATGTATGAACTCATATATTAGATCAGAGTCCCTACATTATCTTAATATGCACAAAAAAGTGTAAGATACTGACATTCTTACCTATATCCTTTTGGGTATAAATTGTTGAACTGCTGAGAAATTTGGATTTAGAAAATAATCCAGTTAGATTAATTTCTATGAAAGATTTCACCAGGTCATTGAGGTTGGATACATCAGCTCTTAATTTTATTTTATTTTAGTTCTATTTATTTATTTATGTATTCATGTATTTCATTGTTTTGTTTTGTTTTGTTCATTTGACAAGGCTGATTAATCTGAAATACCTCAAACTATTCATAATTTTCTGGAATATTTTTGGGGTGGTCTAGTTTGGTGTATTCTGATTGTAATGGAAATATTTGTTTACTAACGTTTTATATCTGCAGAAATTTATAATCTTTGAAAATGATGGAATTAACTTCCTCTATTTTTACATGTGTGCATAACTTGGACTCATACTTAACTTTACTTAACTCTAGCAAAGCTTGGTTCTCATTTTAATATGAATTAAAACATGGCATGATAAAGGTTGGTTGAAGGACATTGATTTCATATTTTCCTTTTTTGTTGCAAATATACATTACACAAGGAAAACCTTTGCTGAATTAATTGGCAGTTTGACTGACTGGTTGGATGGCTGCAGCATTTGGGCCTTAGAATAGCATCTATGTCTCTTAGAACCAAGGGCATGAAGAAAGATTCAGGAGAAGTCCTGAAGCCATGTTCAAAATTGTACAGCACATTTGTAATTTAGGTCAGGTAAGTAACAACAATGTATTTTTCTAGGTTGCTTGCACAAGGATATTATAGTAGTTGGGTGACCTCTCCTAGCTCTATGACTGGACTAATAGTTTCATTTAATTTTTTTCCCAACATACTTTCCTAAAGTTGTGCATTTTCTGTTTCAGCCATTCCATTTGCTCTGTCTTTACCTTTCCAGGCTGCCCGAAATGCAACTTCTGGACATTTTAACTTGTCTTTTTTCTTGCCTCATTTCAATCTCAAACTGATGAAGTCAAGAAGATTGATCAATAAGACCTTCATCCCAAAGAATTTATTTTGTTAGCATGCGTGTTTTTCATAATTATTCATAAACATAAATCTCATATCCTTGTTATTTTGCCACTTACTCAGGGAAATTGTCATTTACTCAGAGGAGAGAGTAAAATTAAGTAAAGGAAAATTAAGTTTATAAAATTCCAAATTAGATAAAAGGAAATCAAGTTTAGCTATTACACCAGATTTATTCTTTTTTTTCCTTTGAGCTAAACCAAGCGTATGATTAAATGTAGTTTCTTTCAGTTTTATATTGTTTTAGACCCACATTTCTAATTCCATACAGAGCAACCTAGCCTGAAATGGCTAAAAAGGAAAGACAGAGAAGCAAGTCAGGGGATACATATTATGAATTTACCTCTTTGTAGGTATATTATGTGTTAGATATTGTCCTGTTGATTTGCATAGAATAAATGGTGAGTTGTTTGAATTCTGTTGGAGTAGCTATAATGTTCTGTCCTAGCTATAATGTTCTGTCCATAATGTTTCACAAAACTGAGTGATTAAGAAATGGCTGTATTGCAAGATACAGCTTTGTGCCTCTTATTCTAGGCTGTGTCTTTAATCCCTTCCTTTCTAAATAAAACAGTGGAATTAGAGAAAGCCTGAAAGCAAAAGAATTCTTCTCAATTTTCTTATGTTTCTCATATGCTTTAATAACGAACCAGATTCTCAAAATGGAAAATCCACACTAGAGTCTACATTGCATTGAGACATGTGGACTTCAACTCCCTGAATTCAAGGGGAATTCAAGTCCATGTGGCTTAACAATGCCAAAGTTGAGACACTTGGCTTTAATGGAAGACTCACAAGCACCAGAGGAGGCATAAATGGATGCAACTTGTTTATAAACTGTGATTTCCTTGTTATTTTCTGCTCTCTTGTGAAGCAATAGAAAGTAAAAGTGATGAAGGAAGTTAAGGGTAAATCAGGGTTCTCCAACCCTCGGTCTGTGGACCTGCATTGGTCCGCGGCATTCCAGGAAATGGACTACACAAACAAGCGAAGCCCTGTCCACGGAATGCAGGCAGCCCACGAAACCATGCCCCCTCCGGTCCACGGAACCGGGCTAGATGGTCCTTGTCATGAAGAACTTACAAATAGGTTATTATGAGTACATCTGATAGGTTGCTCAGAATAGTGGCAAACTCACCATTGGAGGTTGCTACAGCTAATACCAGAAGTAGAAAAGGCACCGAGAGATAAATATGAAGAAATCTTACCCAGGGACTCACCAAAAATCCAGGGGGGTAAGTCTTGCAAGTGCATAATCTGTGCAGAGGCCTTTAGCCTAAACTCATGTATTTCTGCTGCTTGGCTACCCACTGGAATATCTGTGAGCTCAGGCTGTGAAATGTTACGCTTTATCGATGCCTGTATATTTGCATCTATTGCTTTTGTGTCAGAATACCAAGCTCCTTTTATAAATGCATCAGTGGACAATAAAATATATGTATCACTGCAAGCAGTGAGTCCTTCTTATGCACACATGAATGGCTGCCATCTGATGTTCCAGGGTCACAGAAACCATAGTTCCTTTCCTGTATAAATCAAGTATTGCATTTTCAAGTGGTTTTTTTTTCCCCTTTTCACCCATAGAGAGGTAAGAACGGTGGTGAAAAATACCTTAATGTGCATTGCACATCTTTTTAGATGATTTTTCTTGCTCACTGAAACATACAGTGCTGGATACGGGGGAGACTTTGAAGGAAGAACATATTGGAAGCGGTTTCCATTTGTCTAATATTTTTCTTGCGGTTAATATTTCCATAGATTACATAAATTGCCTAAAGATGGCAGAACTGCTTTGTGTTAACAACCAGAAGGGGGAAAATAATAATAAACCATGCAAACACTACGGTGTTAAGCTGAAGCTGTAAAACAGAGAGTTGAGAACAACGCATTTTTACAGTTGGGTAAATTGGGGATGATACTGCATTCATTTGGTTCCTTTCTAATTTACCTTAACAGGTATAAACTTTACGCAATGCTTAACGTCTCCTTCAGTATTGATTTCCAAGCCCGAATTAAACATCTTTTTTTAATTATTACCGTTATTTTTAGAAAGTGGCGTGTGCATTTTTAAATATAGTATGCATTTAAAAATTCACATTTTTAAATATACAAAAATACATCCTGCTATTCATCTGATGTTTACTTTTTAATCTTCTTTGGGGAAGAAGGCAGCTATTTTTGTTTTGGGGGTTTTTTATTTTATTTTGTGTTTTGCTTTTATATTAAACACACACAAAAATTGACAATGCAGTCCTATGGTGCTGCTTTACAGTTCTGCTCTATCCAGTGGTTATTTCCCCTAGAGTGCCTGGGGTGGGAGCTTTAATAAATTAGAAGTTTCACTTTATATATGTTTTCATTAAAAGGAACACCAAGTTTTCCAAAGGATTTGCTATTTACACCTGAAGTAATATATCACTCTTTTTGGCAT